CTGGAGGTGAACATAGTGGATATGAAGGTCCTGGGCTGGTGTGGACACATGGCCTGCAGTTGTATGTACTGCCAAATTCTCTGAAACGTCTTTGGAGACAGCTTATGGTAGAGAAATGAACTTTCATTTTGTGGGCAACAGCTTTGGTAGACATTCGTGCAGTCAGCATGCCAATTGCACGCTTTCTCAAAGGTTGCAATATCTGTGGCATTGTGCTGTTTGATCAAACTGCATATGTCAGGGTGTCCTTTTTATTATGGGCAGTCTAAGGCACACCTGTACATCATTCATGCTATCTAATCATCCCCTTGATATGCCACACCTGTGAGGTTGGATGGATTATCTTGGAAAAGTGCTCACTAATACACATGTAGACAGATTTCAGAATAGTTGAGAGTCATGGGTGTTTTGTGCATGTAGAAAAAGTTTCTGATGTTTGAGTTCAGCTCATGAAAAATGGGAGCAAATACAAAAGTGTTGTGTTTATATTTTTGATCAGTGTATTTCAGCCTGGTTCTTCCCTGTGGTTGATTGATAATTCACTTTTTTTTTGAAAACCATTCAGAACTATGAACTAGTTTGTTTTTAAAATTAACTTTCAAGATGGGGTTTGTGTCATCTGACCTGTACACACTGCACAAACAACATTCCTGACAATTACATCCATGCACTGTGGTCCTGTCCACCTGTCAAGGAATTTTGGGGTAGAGTATGTGAAGACCTGTTAAAGTGTCGGAAATGTCATATCCCAACTTCCCCCTCTCTTTGTTTACTGGGAAAGCTGGACGATGTCCCGATTGAAACATCTTTGGTTCACGTGGTTCTGACTGCCATTTGCATCGCTAAGAAAACTATCCTCATGAACTGGAAAAATAGAGATACACTTTGCATTAACCAATATAGAAATGTTTTGTTAGATTATATTACTTCTCCAGCCTTCAGAGAGTACAGATTCTTTTTCTCAGCTCCCTTATCTGCTTCCCCAAGGCTCTTGTCCTGTCAGCCTACAGAGCACTTCTCTGCATTTCTCCTGGAACCACTACTCTTTTTTTGGAAATATGGACTTAATTAGCTGGTCATTCAACGCGATTGATAAAATTTTTTCTACGATGAGAACGGAGAAGGGGACTCCCACCTGTCCCGAGGGGACATTCGCAGCGGGATATGCACTCGATTCTTGGGAGGTCTGGCGAATCGTGTGCCTTTCTCAGTTGTCCATCGAGGACGTGGAAGATTTGTGGATGTTCGGCCTGATGATCACTGGATTTCTTCTGATTGGAGTGGGAGGATATCTGGTTTTCTGGAAATTTGGGAAGCCGGGAGCGATTGGAGTGCGACCCGTGCCCACGGAATGTGCCGCTCGTGCGGCGACCTCACAGACTGGGACGTTACTCGAGGTGAACCGTAAGCTGGACAATGTCCTTGCGGCGTTGCCTGTATTAGTACGCAAGATGGATGTTATCTCGGAGAGAGTCACCGGACGATGTGGGGATGTTTAGAACGTAAAATTGGCTTCACTGGTGGACATGATTGACCGCTTATAGACTCCAAGGCAGAGAGGAAAATTATCTCTGCTTGCCCCAAACAAAGCCATGTTTATCCCTTATCTGACGCCAAGACAGCCTCTCAAGGCTGCTCAACACACCCCCACGAAAGGAGGAATGCTGACAGATGCTGTGTCCCGACCTTCCCCCCTGGCCTTCAGATTGTGACTTCTGCTGAGGTCAGCGACCTGCGGGAAACTCAATGTGCTCTCTGTTCTTTATCTCTCCCTCCCACCTGTTGGTCTGCAGCTGGTTGATGCGCCGTACCGGCAGCTCCCATTGGAGGCTTCAGGATCCCGCCCAACCCCGCCTCCCCATCGGTCTCTGATGTTGTATTTGTGCTTCTATGTCAAGGAGTTTTTTTTGTATAATAGAGTTACTCCCCGCTGGGTCTAACTCTGCTATGCCTTTTTTTACCTTACCCCCAATTATCCTCATGTAACTCCCTTTTCATCTATCTATAAAGGTAGCGCGACTCATGTTGCGAATGACCGCAGTCACCAATTCTTGTCATGTGTCTTACCCATGTATGTCTGATCTCTGAATTGTGTGCACTGAAACTCAATTTAGTTTCTCTATATGTCCTGCACATGTGGTAGAAATGACAATAAAAACGACTTTGACTTTGATTACACTTGATACAGCCTCTGCTTCCACTTTAAATAAATCTCTCTGGGCTCCTTTGATCGGTTCATCACATAGCGATGATGGGGGATCATTGATATTGTCCTGCGGGATGATGTGGATGATGGGGTGGAGGGTCTGAGTTTGGAGTATCTGGACATTCCCTGGAGGTGGGTTCACTGGGGGTGTCTGGGACTGGGGGGCTGCTGTCCCCCTCTGGAGGTGCTTGGGTTGCCTCGGGGGGTGGGCTACTATTGGTTGTGAGTGGGGCCCCTTGGGGGTCTTGGCGGTGGCCATCGGTCGCTGTCTGGCAGCTGCATTGCCCCTGAGCGGGTCTGGGTGGGGGCCTGGGGGTGGCCGGCCCCTTGTGGGGATCTGGGAGGGGCCTTGGAGGTCAGGTTCTGAAATGTATGCTGCCGGGAGGAAGGCGGGAACATGCAGCAGTGCCTGGCCTGGGCTCAGGGGCCTCGGGTAGACCGTGGCTCCTCTGCTGTCCCATCACAGGGGAGGGGGATGTGCAGGAGGGGGAAGACCCAACCTTACCTGGATGTCCTATGTCTTATATATTCTGGAAGTTGTGCAAATGCAGGGATGGGAGTAGATATTCTGCTGGGGTAGGGCTGTGTTGTTGCCCTCGGACTCCGTGGGGCTCTGTGATGCTGCTGCTTTGGGCCCTGGCAAGATGGGCTGGGGTCTCCGTGCCCTGGGTGGCATTTTTGCAACAGAGGTGCCTATTGGGGCCAGTGGGGGAGCTGGCTCCCTGGAGGGCTTAAGTCCAACCAGCCATTCCTCCCCATCCCCACACATTTTTCTCCTCCTGCTCCCTCACATCATCGCACAATCATGCACATAGGCCCTTGGGGGGCGCACAAGTCAGGGGGTGCGGGTATGGACCCCATTTCCACATTCCTGTGGCAACCTGCCCCCCAAATTTATTTGCAGCTTAAACACTTCCACCAACATTCCACGCAAACACACACTTGGGGCCTTGGGAATGAGCACATTCAACGGCATTTGGCAGGGAGATTTTTCAGCCTCATCCCGAGTGCCGGTGCCCACTTCCAATTTTAAACTGCACTTAGGCACTGAGGGCTGTGGGTGCAAGTGGAGTGGTGTGGTGGCATCAGCTGGCGTAGGCCAGACGATGCCGGCACTACCCACTCACCACAGCCATGGAAAACACCTCATCAACATGCTCTAACACTATATTAGAGCAGGTAGAGGGAGACTAGGGGTCTTAGCACACCTCTATTTTCGCTTGGCTTCCCGGGGCTGGAGGCTAGGAGGAAGATCTGGCCATCTGATTGGGGTCTGGGGTGGTGGGTTGCTTTGCTCAGCGTTGGGCGGGGGAGCCTGTTCATCAGCACCCCAGCAGAAAGGGTCGAACTCTGGAAACAGGTAATGGTTGTACCCCATGTGCAGCAGTACCAGGACCAGAGTGAATAGGGTGTGTATGGGGAGCATGAGTGGATGTCCGGTGTGCATTTTTGTAAGTCTTTGGGTGTATGTGTATGTGTGAGCATGAGGGAGGGAGTGTGTGACTGTGTCTGTGTATGACTGTTTATGTCAGGTGGGGCCTTTGACTCCTCCCTTCTCCTGGGACTTCTTTTGATGCTATACATCTTCTTCTCCCCTCCCCCTGCCACACCTCTGTGGAGTATGGCGCCTTGGTCTGCCTGAGTGTTCGTGGCCCCCGGGCCAGGGGGTTTAAGATTTTTGGCGTCTGCCTGATCAATCCCGGTGGCTGCCTGGTGGGATCTGGGTCCCTGGGCTCTGCTAGGTCCTCGGCGGGGGTGGTCGCCCCTGGGTCCTGGGTTGCTGGGTCCCAGGCTCGGCCGGCTAGGGTGTGGGAGGCTGCGTGTGGGCCTGTGGGCTTGCCGCTGATATCTCAGGACACTCAACAACTGGAGGATAAAACTGATGAACTGACCACTAACACCTTCTTCTTCTTCTTTTGGTAGGCAGACTAGACACCTATTCGGCGTATTGCTGTCACAGCAACCAGCATTTCACTCTAAACGACGTTCACACCCTCACATACACAACAACCTGATGCAAAAAAGCCAGCAGCGCACCCACACACTGTCCACCCCCCACCCTCACTAAGGTTTGCAGACTAAATACCCCCAACCCATAGAACCCAAAAACCCAAACAGGGCCCTCCTCTTGACTGAGTAATGGAGACATTCCAGCAAAACATGTTTTACCGTTTCCAGCACCCCACATTGGCACACATCGACCCCCCAAAGACAGCTATGGCCCAGCCTCAGCCTCATCAAGACCACAGAACCTCTCCTCCTGCTTGGAAGGGCAACCCCAGGAACCCCCACCCAATGCTGCAGATCATAAAAATCCCTCCCAGTAACCCCAATGTCCCATAAGGCCTGCCACAGGTCAAACGCCACCCAACCCACCAGCGAGTGACATTCACACACTCCGAACCCCACCTCCAAATCCACCTCACACCTCAACAGCGCCCCCTTATCCATAGTATCGGCCCTCTCATTACCCTCTACCCCCACATGAGCAGGAACCCACACAAAACAAACTTCGCACCCCAAAGCAACCACCTCATGCAGCATCATCCTGATCCTAACCAGCAAGTCAGGCCGAGACCTGGAGTATCCCTCCACCAGGGATGTATTACCATCTCCTTTTAAGTTATCTGAATCTAACAGGGACACTTGAAGTTAAAGTGATCTGTCTGATTTCTGATGAGAGACCATGAATTTTGTAATGAGAAACGATGAAATTTGTGAACAGATGAAGCTCATGAATACCAGCCCTGGAGGTCACATAGGCCATTGCATTTTAATTACTCCAAAAGCTCACCTTTTCCAACTGGCACTCTTTAACGTCTCCATCCTCTCTCCTCATTACTCTGATGTTCACAGGTGATTTAGTGGCTGTGATGATTCTTTGAACTTTGGAGATGTCCTGTAAATAAAAAAAAAATATATATATATATTTTAATTTAAGAACTAAACGTTGGTAACAATGACTTTTTAGATTCAAAGCATCTTTTATTATATTTTTGTACCATCCATCTTATCACGGTGGTGAGGTAAACATTTCTAAATGTATTTCCATGCAAAACATGGACATTTTTATGAACTTTCATCTCAGTGGATCTGAAATTTAACAGACCCAATATCAGTGTCATCTAATGCAGCGGACCAAGCAGCTGACAGATGGATCAACAGTGCCCTACATAGAGCCATACTGCTAGCATGGCTAAACATAGCGAAAAGTTAATAAGCTGGAACCTTAATTAGTTAGAAAGGTTTTGCTGTCTCCTTTTTCTTTTATATGAAACATAATGACAACATCAGGCTAAAATAATTTCAATATGTGGGGAAAAGGGATGCAATCTTCTTCTAGGTGTTAGCAGAACACCCTGTCAGCATTTGGTAGATGCATGGTGATTACAAACCTCCTCTGATTGCAAATGTCTGAACAAGAAGCCAATCAGCCTACAGGTAATGAATGCAGACTAAAAAGACGGGATGATATATTGCATGGAAATGCCATAAACCATTCATCAACAATATAATAACAAGGCCTAGAGAAACCAAACTAGCGCTGTAGGTTTCCTGCCAACTTTATTCAAGTCAATCAGTTTCTTGCCCTTCAAACACAAGCCTTACAGGGTTGCTAGGAGACCCTGTTGTTTGATTGTATCTTTGTTTAACCAGGCAGAAAAAAATCATTTAAATGTCACATGTCTAACATGTTGTCATAACCAGAACAATGACTGCCTGCGATTTAGGTTCTGTAAAGTAAAAACTTGACAAATGTAACTATTGTAACCAAAGACACAAATACAGGTCTGAAAATAAAGTCACTCCAATTTGTATTATATGTTGTGCTATTTTATAATTTGTATTTTGAAAACAATTACTTGCCTAATGAGTAAATGTGCAGTTATGTGTGTGGCTAAATCATTTTTTGGTTCTTGTACATTTCACCAGTTGATTCTTGAACTAACTAGTCCCCAAAGAGAGATGTGTCTGTATAATTGAAACAATGGAAACACTATCAAGTCCAAAAGAGCCACTGAAGATCGAGTGAGGAAAATAAAACTAATTCTATGCATAATCTAACCAATGAAGGCTTCATTTAATGAGAGACTCATTCCAGTTTGCTGCTTCCAACAACTGGAATGAGCTGCAAAAATATCCAAAGCTCACTACCTACATTCCATTATCCACCTTCAACTGTTTCTTATCAATGTGCTTCTAAAGATTGTCTGTTTTGCTTGTACATGAGAACGGTCCTTTGTCTTTAAGTCTAACTGTTTTTATCTTACTTTGATCTTGTTTGAGAAGTCATTCTGTTAAAAAAAATCGACTCGTCTGGTTAAATAAGGTTTAGATTAAAATATTAACCCTTTAAGACCTGCCATAGAACAAGTTTGCCAGGACTTATATTTACATTTTTACATGCTGCGGTGCCAATTTTTTCAACTTGCAATACAACACTTACATTCTAAATTTTAATAATATGAATGTAAAATGTTCATAGCAACTAAAGATTTTACAAAAAAAATGCAACTATCCATACAGAAATGAAAATTTGTTTTTTGTTTTCACACATACTTTTCATTATACAGAAATTCCACAACCTTATCCCTCAAAATTGTGAATGAAAAAAAAGTTGCACACAATCCTTTCAAACAACAAATTTATTTTAACTGCTTCTAAAAAATAGTTTCTGAGGTACACTCATTTATATAAACTGTAAGAAAAACAAAAACATGATAATAATCAGCAGGAGTCTGGTATAATAATGATGAATATTTGTAGCACATTTTTCAGTAGTATATAGTTTTCTTTCTCTCTCATTAATAATAATAACATTAATAAAGAATATTGCATGAATATATACGTGAGGAAACAGAAAGTGAAACTTAAACATCACCCGACGCTGTAATGGCATCAACTGCTTCGAGGAGAGAGGATGTAGAGTTTGGCGGGTCTGTGATTCATCAGAATGTTCATAGTTGGTGTGTGATGTGTGTAGGATGTGTTTGTCTAAACGTATTATTGCGAAAAAGCATAAGAAAAAGCCAAAAGACTGGGACTACAAAGACCTACAATTCACGGGAAAATGACGTCAAAGCAGGTGATTGGGTGAGTGATAATCATGTGACAGTGTATGTTGACAACTCATCATAGCAGAATTGTTATAATTCAGCTTTATTTGAGGGTTTTCTAGCATAAATCGCCCTTTTAAGGTCATGCCATAGCATCTCAATAGGATTCAGGTCAGGACTTTGACTAGGCCACTCCAAAGTCTTCATTTTGTTGTTCTTCAGCCATTCAAAGGTGGATTTGCTGGTGTGTGTTGGGTCATTGTCCTGCTGCAGCACCCAAGATCACTTCAGCTTTAGTTGACGAACAGATGGCCGGACATTCTCCTTCAGGATGTTTTGGTAGACAGTAGAATTCATGGTTCCATTTATCACAGCAAGCCTTCCAGTTCCTGAAGCAGCAAAACAACCCCGAACCATCACACTAACACCACCATATTTTACTGTTGGTATGATGTTCTTTGTCTGAAATGCTGTGTTACTTCTACGCCAGATGTAACGGGACATTTGCCTTCCAAAAAGTTCAACTTTTGTCTCATCAGTCCACGAGGTATTTTCCCAAAAGTCTTGGCAATCATTGAGATGTTTCTTAGCAAAATTGAGACGCTCCCTAATGTTCTTTTCGCTTAACAGTGGTTTGTGTCTTGGAAATCTGCCATGCAGGCCATTTTTACCCAGTCTCTTTCTTACGGTGGAGTCGTGAACACTGGCCTTAATTGAGGCAGGTGAGGCCTGCAGTTCTTTAGAAGTTGTCCTGGGGTCTTTTATGACCTCTTGGATGAGTTGTCTCCACGCTCTTGGGGTAATTTTAGTCAGCTGCCCACTCCTGGGAAGGTTCACCACTGTTCCATGTTGTTGCCATTTATGAATAATGGCTCTCACTGTGGTTCGCTGGAGTCCCAAAGCTTTAGAAATGGCTTTATAACCTTTACCAGACTGATAGATCTCAATCACTTTTGTTCTCATTTGTTCTTGAATTTCTTTGGATCTTGGCATGATGTCCAGCTTTTGAGGTGCTTTTGGTCTACTTCTCTGTGTCCGGCAGCTCATATTTAAGTGATTTCTTGATTGAAACAGGTGTGGCAGTAATCAGGCTTGGGGGTGGCTACAGAAATTGAACTCAGGTGTGAAACACCACAGTTGGGTTATTTTTTTAACAAGCGGGGCAATTACTTTTTCACACAGGGCAATGTAGGTTTGGATTTTGTTCTCTCCCTAAATAATAAAAACCATCATTTCAAAACTGCATTTTGTGTTTACTTGTGTTATCTTTGACTAATGGTTAAATGTGTTTGATGATCAGAAACATTTTGTGTGACAAACATGCAAAAGAATAAGAAATCAGGAAGGGGGGGGGGAAATCGTTTTTCACACCACTCTATACTGTAAACATGCAAAAGCCACATAAGAAAAAACACTTAAATATATTCAACTGTCTTGAAATGAACTGTTTTTGTAAATGAATGCAATAAAAACAATGCCTCTAGAGCAGACAAAAAAAGTAAAGGGAGTGAGGTACCTTAGATCAAGGAAACTACTCTAGGGCTACCCAGAGGGGAAAGGTGGTTTAAAGGGTAAGTCCAAGGGTCAGTATGACTGGCTGACTAGAGGCAGTTCAGGGAGGTAGAGGATAAGGCCAGAGCCTCAGGATCTGATCAGCTGGCGTGCACAAACAGACAGAACCATCACAGCTGGTGTATTTGAAAAAGGACCTTAAGGCTGACAATGCGGATGAATGCAAAGCAAACCTGGGCTGCCCTGAAAGCTGTAGCAGCCCAAGGCAACTCCAGTAGAACCAGGAGCCAAGGTGACAATTAGGATCTCAACATGAGCCAAAGCCATAGCGAGGACTTGGATCTAGACCAACAGACTAGGGACAAGGGTTCTGGGAACCACACAGTTTAGGCAAGTTGACTTGATGGATAAGTTTAAGTTCTCCTGGAAGGTGAGTTTATCAGTTCTAACCAAGCACTGTCATTCAATGAGAAAAGTAAACTGCATCACTCTGCTTCCTTTGCCAAGATCTCTTAGTTGGCCCCAGCTTGGTATTTGGGTGGTGGAGGTTTGCAGTCTGAAGACTGACTGACTCAGGGACTAAAGCTTTATGAATAGCTGCCCAGGCTTAAGGAAATTCCTGCTCTGCCTCAGCCACCAGCTCTGCCATCCCCAGGACATCAATCAGCCTTGGCAGGCAAACACACTCAGCAATTAAGTCCTCAGTAACTCATAACTCCTCTAAAAGACCAAAAGGTGCAGTCACAGATCAATGTATGTTTTAACAGCAACATGTACCTCCTCTAATTCCTCAGAGGTTAACAAGGCTCAGCTGGGACCAGGCTGGCAGGATTAAATGATGGGGAACAGTGGTGGTGATTGGGAGGCTGAGGAGCAGACAAATAGTCCAAAGGCTGGCAGGCAAAGGTCTTTTACTTTTTTCCTGACAACATAAAAGCCACTGGAACAACAGGATGTGCAATGAGAGCTACTAATAATCAAAAATAGACACAGGAAAGCAGACCAAACAAAAGAGAGAACAGGAGTGAAGTGAAAGGAAGACAACAATCAGGCCTAGAAGCATCTGAAACCATGGAAACGTGTGCTGGAAAACATAACTACAAATGTATCGCAAGTAATCGTGACAAGCAACTGAAATTTGGTGAGACAGAAACAAGAAAGGTTCAATAGAAAGCACAAGGTCAAACAAAAGAAGAACAGTTCACTGACGACAATACATTTCAAGATGATCAAAAACAGCTAGAATGTTCAACAGAGTGGAGTAAACACGAACACATAAGCTTTAACAAAATGAGTGACAGGCGTACACATTTTGACTGACCAGGCAGGA